GATAAACTTGCAGCTGCAAAAGTTATGGGATTAAGAAGAGCTAAAAGAAGAAATATGGAAAGATTAACTCTTGCATGTGGAGGAGTAGCATTAAATAGTTTTGAAAATGAAATTCCATTTGAATGTTTAGGACATGCTGGACATGTATATGAGACAGTTATTGGAGAAGAGAAATATACGTTTGTAGAAGAATGTGAACATCCAAAGTCATGTACTATTCTTATTAGAGGATCTGATGATCAAGAAATTGAACAAATTAAAGATACAATTAGAGATGGATTAAGAGCATGTAAAAATGCTATGGAAGATGGAGGAATAGTTTTAGGAGCAGGAGCATTTGAGTTACAATGTTGGAAAGAATTAAAAGAATTTGCTAAAAGTGTTAAAGGAAAAGCAAAATTAGGAGTTGAAGTAATGGGAAATGCAATGTTAATTATACCAAAAACATTAATAGAAAATAGTGGATATGATGTTATTGAACGATTATATGAATTAGAAGATAATATTTTAGAAGGAAAAATTGGAGGAGTTGATATTGAAACAGGAGCATTTAAAGAAATAGATGATATTTGGGATGGAATTAGAGTTAAGAAACAAATGATTCAATTAGCCAGTGTACTTGCATCTCAATTAATGTTAATTGATGTTGTAATGAGGTGTGGATCAGCTAAGAATCGACCTGCAGGAGCTGATGCTGGACAATTTAATTAAAAACAAAGGAATTGATTTAATTTTTCCAATAATATAAAAGAAGTTTTAAAAAATAAAAAAAAGTAAAATAGATATCACAAAAAAAGAACTTATAATTTGTTATTGTTTAATAAGAATTAATGTTAAGTGCTGAAGAACTTATAAACGAAAATGATTATCAAAAAAATCTTATTGATTATTCTGAAAATCAAAGAGTTGATAATAACCAAGAAGAAGGAACAAAAACAATGACTATATGGTCAATACTTATTCTAGTAAATATTATTGTTTTTCTGCTTTCGTTACATTCATCAGTATTTTTTGAAACACCTTTGAAAACTATAGCAATTGAAGTAAGAAATAATGTTAGTAAAGCTCAAACCTTTATAATGAATCAACCTGTTGAAAATGAACCAACATTATACCAATGGAACAAAGTAGTAGCAGCTACTATTAATGATTATTTTTTGACACACTCTCAAAGGTTGACAGATAGTCATACACTTGGAAAAACACTATTAGATACTTATAAAACGTTTGATAATTTTATAGAACAAGTTTCTAATGGAAATCAAACACTTGTAGTTGATGATATTGTCATATCAATTGTTAATTTGAAGAAATTATCAACATATAACAAATTTAGAGATGCCTTGTTAGAGACACATGTTGGTGTTATAAAACAAGGACTATTCACAGCTAAACGAGGACAAGAATTTATTCTTCAATCAACTAATGATGGGCTCTTCCATCCAGGACCATTTGTTCAAATTAAACCAAAAAACACAACAGAGGTGAATTACTATGACCCTGTATTTTATGAAGCAGTTGGATATGACAATAATTTTATTACTCGATTAGATGCTCCTTCTAGAAAAGCATCAACTTCTGGTGTTGATGAATCAGATAATAGTAATGAGTTTGGATTTTTCACTCAAGGAGCATTCTATGTTCGAAGTCCCTTTGGTAATAAAACGTGGCAAAGCCTTGACTCGTTATCCATGAAAAGTATCATTCCAGCAATATCAAGCAAATCAATTAGAACATGGATTGCTTGTAATGATAGTAATTTAATTCAATGCACTAATTTAAAATGTAGAAAAGATAGTGGATTAAATGGTCAAAAACTTCATAACATTCCTTGTGACAAGCAGCCATTTGGATTAGTTGGTAGTAAAACATTAGGTGGATATCCAATGATTAGTTTAGACCAATTAACATGGTATTATTATGTTCAAGGAGATGATACTCCTTATCTTGTCAATGGTTCTATTGCTGAAGAGTTATTAGAGCCATATGAAAACACAGTAGTTAATTATCAAAATACATCCTCACTTGGATATGGAGCAATTTCTTATGTTGTATTATCTGAAATGGAAAGAATAGTAGATGTTCAAACTGGAGCGGTTTGTTAATACTATAAAAATTATTATAATATTAATGAGATAGGGATATTTTACTTTTGATGTTGAGGTATCAAATAAATAATTTTAATCAAGTCTTTTCATATTTTAATAATCATTTAATAAAATGATTCAATACCTCAAAAAATTCTTCATTCTAATTTTTAATAATTCAAAATAATTATTTATCTAATGAGATAATTGTTTATATTTTTTAATAATTTGTTTTATATTATATAATTAAATAATTTTTAATTAATGTTTTTACGGAAATTATTTCTATTTCTTGTAGTTTTTTTCATTTACCTTAAAATTAACAATTTGTGTTTTTTAGTTAAAGAATTTGAAATTAAATATTATAATATTATATTTTAATTTAATTTACTCTTAAAAAAAAGAATGAAAAGTTTTTGTTTATAACTTTATTGTGGAAATATGATAATTTCATAAAATAATTGGAAACAATTTAAAACTAGAAGTAAAGAACCAAAAAAGATGAATGAAATGAGTTTTGAGAAGTTTATTTAAAATAGAGTATCAAAAAAAAAGGAATAAATATTTTAGAGGAATATTGAGAAATAAAAAATAATAAGAGAATTGATTGAAAAAAAAAAAAGAAATACCAGAAGAAAGACTTCTATTTGGTTCTTATTATTTTTTGACAAACAAATCTAAACACTTTTCTTTTTGAACTTAAAATAATTTTTTTAGTTATTCCAAACTTTAAATGTTTATTTATTCAAATGCCTAAAGAAGGATGGCTAGCAAAACAAGGAGGTGGATGGAAAAACTGGAAACATCGTTGGTTTGTGTTAGATGGAACCACATTAACATATTATAAAGATCAATTAGTTTGTTATTAAAAACAACAGAACAACAAGATAAAGAGAATTAAAAATATAGAGAATGAAAAAGATGGGAGAAATTGATTTAATGTTAGCATTTGCTATAGTTCCAAATGAAGAATTAAAATTAAAAAATTTTCCATATATATTTTCAATAAGTACACCTTCTAGAGTTTATAATATTTCAGCGTCATCATCAAAAGAAAGAGATGAATGGATTGAATCATTATTAAATTCAAAAAATAAAAAAGAAACATTAATAGAAAAAGAAGAAGAAGAAAAACCAATTAGTATAGAAGATTTTGATATAATTACGTTATTAGGAAAAGGAGCATTTGGAAAAGTGTTATTAGTAAGATATAAAAGAACAGGAGAAAAATTCGCATTAAAAATGGTTGAAAAAAAGAAAGTTATTGAAATGGAAGAATTAGAACATACAATGACAGAAAAAAATATCTTACAAAAAGTAAAACACCCATTTTTAGTGAATTTATATTATTCATTTCAATCAGCTACTCATGTTTGTTTTTAAATAAAATTCTATAAAAAAAAGTAATAATTAAATTTAGTTACATTATGTTATTGATTATTGTCCTGGAGGAGAATTATATTATCGTTTAATTCAAGAAAAATCATTTTGTGAAAGTAGAACACAATTTTATATTAGTCAAGTTATTTTAGCATTAGAATGTCTTCATCAAATGAATATAATTTATAGAGACGTTAAATTAGAAAATGTATTAATTTGTGAAGATGGATATCTTAGACTTACAGATTTTGGTTTATCTAAAGAAAACGTTTCTGGAAATGAAACAACAGCTACATTTTGTGGTACTCCTGAATATCTCTCTCCTGAAGTTGTTTTAGCAGAGCCTTATACTAATGTAATTGACTGGTGGGGAGTAGGAATTATGACATATGAAATGATGCATGGACAAGCACCATTTATTAGCGATAATATCCAACAACTTTATCAAAAAATTTTATATTCTCCTGTAATCTTTCCAACAACATCTCCAGTTTCTGCTGTATGTAAAGATTTTATAACTAAAATGTTAGAAAAAAAAATTTGTGATCGTTTAAGTACACCAGAGAAGATTAAAACACATCCATGGTGGAACAGTTTCGACTGGGATGCTCTTTATCAAAAGAAAATTCCTGCCCCATTTAAACCAGATATGTCACAAGATGGAAAAACAAACTTTGGAGAAGAATTTATTAATGAAAAATTCGACCTTAATGAAGAAATAAACAATTCTACTTCTAATGGCATAAGACAAGACATTTTTGGAGAATTCACTTTCACTAGAGATGAACCAAAATAATTATATTTGTTATATAAAACGTTTATATATTATTTTGAAAGAATAATCCACGTAATCATAATGAAAACGTCGATCTCAAATTACGAAGAAATGACGTGGAATTCATTTATTATTATACTCATCATTACGTCAAAGAGATTACACTATAAAAAAGAACTAATCTAAAATTATCATTTAATAGTTTAGCTAAATAAACATGCACTCACAAGCACTTGTAAGACCAACACCATTTAATCCATTTATTCAACAACAACGTAATCAAAAAATATTTGTTGATGGAAAAGGAACAGGACATTGGGCACCAGAAATTTGGGAACCACCATGTGAATTACTTGAAGCAGAACAGATTTATTTATTAAAGTTAGAAGTTCCAGGTATTGATAAAAAAACATTAAGTGTTAAATATGCAAATAATTGGGTTGTTATAACAGGAACTAGACAAGTTGAAGGTAAAATAGAATTTACAGAATTTTTATATGGTACTTTTAGAAGAGAAATTCCTCTTCCAACTGATGTTGATGGAGAAAAAATTAAAGCTAAGTATCAAGATGGAATACTTGCTGTTGTTATTCCAAAGAAATCTCCAATGGGATGGGTAAAAGTTGATATTAACTAATATTCAATAACAAATTCAGGTATTGTATTTCATATTATTTTTATTGTTTTCTTTTTATTTTGTTTAAAAATTTGTTATTTTTTTATAACTTAGTAATTGATAAAATTATATTTAAGATCTTTTTTTTGTTTTATCTTTTTAAGATTTTTATATTTCTAAAAATGACAAAAATGAAACACGTCATGCCACGGAGAGGAGATGTATTAAAGGATCTTTGAAGAAATGATAAAATATTGATAAAATGGCAAGACCAAAGGTATTCTTTGATATTACTATTGGAGGTGAAAAAGCTGGTAGAATTGTTATGGAACTCTTTAACGATATTGTCCCAAAGACAGCTGAAAACTTCAGATGCCTTTGCACTGGTGAAAAGGGTAATGGACTTACCTATAAGGGTTGTGGATTCCATAGAGTTATTAAGGATTTCATGATTCAAGGAGGTGATTTCACTAGACATAATGGAACTGGAGGAAAATCAATTTATGGTACTAAGTTTGCTGATGAAGCTTTCACTGTTAAACACACTAAACCAGGAATGTTATCTATGGCTAATGCTGGACCAAATACTAATGGTTCACAATTCTTTATTACCACTGTTCCATGCCCATGGTTAGATGGTAAACATGTTGTCTTTGGTCAAGTTGTTGAAGGTTATGATGTTGTTAAAATGATCGAAAACAACCCAACTGGTGCTCAAGACAAACCAAAGAAAGCCGTTGTTATTGCTGATTGTGGTCAATTATAAATGATTACAATTTTGTCTCATTTTTGTATTTAACTTTTTTTTTTATTTAAAAGTCATTTAATATTAATAAATAAAGAACAAAAAGAGTAAGTAAATAAAGTGAAATTTATGAACATTTATTCTTTTTCAACTTCATAGTACTAAAGACACATCAATTAATTGAAGAACTAAGGCATTAATTAATTTTTTTTTTGTATTTAATAATATAAAGAAAAGAAAACAAACTTTGGTGGATATATTTTTGTTCTGTTGAAGGAAGTAATTTATTAAGAACTCGAAACATACTTCTGGAGTAGTTTAATAACAATTTCCAGTCTTTGTCAGTTGGACAAGTTTCCATCATATTTAATGCCTCAAACGTTATATCTCTAGTACATTCAAATAATGTCATTATAGGATGAACATTTACATTAATATCACACGGTGATTCTTCAATAGAAATATTACATAACTTACCAATAGTATATAACACACCCATCATTTCTTCTACTGACATTTGTTTGATATTCATTTTCATTTTTGTCACTACTTCAATAGTATTTTTGCCATCTTTAACCATATCATCTTCTACTTGAGCTTCTTCTTCAATTTGATGTATCAATTTAACATTTTCTCCATTATATTCATACATAAAGGGAGATGTTTCAATTTCTTTCCATCCCCATCGTTTATTAACATCATAAACAATTAAATGTTTCATTAAGTCAATAATGCTTGGTTTTACTTTTAATGAACCAAATGGAGGTAAACGTTTTTCACTGAAGAACAATCTAAAATTATTCTTTGGGAAAATTAATGAGCCTGTACACATATAGTAAATTACACATCCAATACTCCATAAATCTGATTGATACGTATAATTACCATTATGAATTTCAGGTGCCATATATGCAGGAGTACCTGCATTAGTTCTTAAAGGATCAATATAATTATCTCTTTTTGTTAATCCTAAATCAGATATTTTTACGACTGGATATTTACTAATCAGAGAATGTGCTAAGAGAATATTTGACGGTTTAATGTCTCTATGTGCAAAATGTTTTTCAACATGAAGATATTTAATTCCATTTAAAATATCATTTGTAAAAGAAAATATTTCTTCATTTGATAATAATGGATTAGCTCCTTGTCTTCTTCTAATATCAATCAATTGTTGTATATCTCCTGAGTCACAATATTCCATAACAAGATAACATTGTACATCTACATAATAATCAAAAAAAGCACAAATATTTGGATGATGAAAAAGTTTCATAATTCTAATTTCTTTCATTGCCATTTGTTTTAACAAACTATTATCAATATCATTTCTATAAATTTTTTTAATTGCTACATATTTTTGATTTCTTTTATCCCATGCTTTTACAACACTTCCAAATGACCCTTTTCCTAATTCATTAATAATTTGATAATTTTCTTTACTTCCTTCAACATCTATTTTCTCTTTATGACATTCTTCTACAAATAATGTATTAAATAATTTTTCCCATGATATTCTTTGTTCTGAATCAAAAACTAGCATTTGTGTTAACATTGATTTTAATGATCCATCAGGTATTTCATTAAATTGAATTGGTTCTTCTTTCTCTAATGAAGTATGAAATTCATTAACATCATCAATTGGATAAATAGGATGTCCTGTAGCCATCCAATATATACAACACCCTAAAGACCAAATATCAATTTTGGATGTATATTCTTCTTTATTAACTTCTGGTGCAGAAAATAAAAGAGAAGAAAATGAACCTGAAATTTTGGGAGTAATAGAAATTGCACTACCAAAATCACATAATTTTACAATAGGAAATGGATATTCTTTTGATCGTTTTAAAAGAAAGTTTGCAAGTTTAAGGTCTCTATGAAGTATTTTTTTTTCTAGCACTAAATATTTTAGAGCATTCATCATATCAGATACAAAAAAATGCATTTCATCAATAGATAATCCATAAGAATTTCTATTAACATAATGTTGTAATGAATCTTCACACCACTCCATTACAAGACATTTATATACATTCATTTCATTTTGAGAAATAAACCATTCTTTTAATTCAATAATATTTGGATGTTTTAAACTAAGCATAATACTAATTTCATTATCAATTTTTTCCATAGGATAATCTGAATCGTCTTTGATTTCTATTTGTGTTAACTTAAATAAAAGAATTTATTTATATTTTCTTTATAATTACAAACCTTTAATAGCATAAAATAATTTATCTTTTTTATACTTTCTTACTACAGAAGTTCCACCATAATTTTCTTCACCTGAAATAAGTAAGTAACCTCTCGTTTGAAATGCGTTCATATCAACTATTCTTTTTTAAGATAATTTTTTTTTCAAAAATTAAATTCAACAAAAAAGAACTTTTTAAAAGGTAATTCTTCATGGATTTTATTAAACCTTTTATCCCTCAACTTCAAGAATGGACTGGATTAAATTTTAAAGAGATTTTATTTGATTCTAATATTCATGAAATGAATGCTCAAACAATTAATTCTAAAATTGTATATCATCGTTGTATTTGTTATATTGTTCAATCAGGAGAATATGTATTTGGTTCATTTATTGGAGAAACTGTTCCTTATGCTGAAGAAAAAATGTCTAATGCAATAGAAAATGATTGGAAGCATTTTATTTTTACTTTAAATAACCCAAAACATCAAATCATTAAAATTGAACCTCAATACCATGAAGACTTTACTTCATTATTTGTGTATGGGACTTTAAATAAAAGAAACGTTATTTCTACTCCAAATGCATTTTTTATTAATCCAGGAAATAATTGTTATATAACAAAAAACATTTTTGATTATTATGTTCAACCTGAACATCTAACTAATGAAATTTTTGCTGGGTGTTGTCAACCAAAAAGATTTACAGCTGATCGACTTGTTGTAGTTGAGATGATTGAAAAAGAATAAATAACTCTTGGTTCTTTAGTTTAAATTAAAGAAGGTTTAATTTAAATATCACAGTAAAGAATGCGATAATAGTCATTAACGTTAGTCCAACTCCTAATGTTATTAAAGTAACATCCCCAAAAGTTCTTGGTTGATAAAATGTTAATTTGACTTGTTTCCAATTAGACTCCGTCCAAGCATCTCCAGAAGAACCAACAACCTTATTTTTTGATATATCAATATCTGATCCATAACTACCTAAATATGTAACTGTTCCATTTTTAATTGAAGTATCACATTCTTCTTTGCATACTCCCATTGTAACAATTCTGTTTAAATAATCATGAATTGCTTTACTTCTAGGTGTTATTTTTGTTTCTCTATATATTGAAGAATATGAATTAGAGTTTCCTTGAATAATACCAATAGTTTCATTAAAATAATCACAACTTAAGTCATAAGCTAAACAATGATATAAACGATGATATTTTTCACAGTCATATTGAATCTCTAATTCTTTCTGAAGAGTTTCAATATCACTTCTATTAAAAATAATTTGAAGAATTATTTGAGTAATACTTTCAATATTGTCACACAACTCAGTGATATATGGAAGGTAATCTTGATGAGTACCAATATTTCCTTTATATAATTCTTCATGGTCACTAAGATACATTTTAATACCATTTTTAAATGAACTTAAAGCACAATGAGGATATTCATTCGTTTTATTGACTATTCTTTTGTGAATATCTTGAGGCACTTGATCTTTACTATAAACAAATAAGCTTCCTTCGGTCAAACCAAGTGGGCCAAAATGAATAATATGAGAATAACTATCATTGCTTTTAGAAAATGTTTTTGATCCCATATTACCAAATGTTTCTCCTTCAAAAAATCCAAAATCTATTCCTTTCTTTGCTCCTTTCATTAGTGGTCTCAATGTCTCTAACACAGAAAGAAGTGTAGCCTCTCCTGAAACAATTTGTTCATGAGCAGGTGTTGCATCTCTAAAAATACTAACACCGTCAAGTTGTGCAGATAATAATATTGATTCAGAGAGATGATTTTCTACAAGTCGACCAACCAATGATTGACCACCAATCGGTTGGCACATTCCTCTTCTTAAACATATTTCTGAATCACCATCAGCAAGCATTTCATCTTCAATTTGTAAATACCCATTATTCTGAGTAAAATATACGATACTTGTTGGTGTAAACATTATAGGATAAGTGTATTTTTTCCATGCAACTTCTGATGCATTTGGATTAAAAGAAGACCGATAGTCTTGTGAAACGTAATGAGTGGAATTAGAATCATAAAATACTACTCCTTGAACTTTTAATTGTTCAAATAAATTTAAGTGGGTACTATCAAGGAGATGATCTGGAACAACTAAAATGCCATTATAGTCATTTGATTTTTTCCATATTTGAATTTCTTCTTCTGTCGGTAGGTGAATAACTTTTCCATTAATTAGTTTTTTTCTTCCATATGACCCAATCATTTTGTCATTATTTAATAACAGATATGCAGTTGTACTATCAATAACATTATTTAATTTATCTTTAACTACATCAAGCCTATTTTTTTTAAGGTCAATCTTTTCACTGTAACAATAAAAAAGAAAGAATAATAATAACAATTCTATCATTTACTTTTTTAAGTTTTTTATTATTTTTTTTATATTCAAAAACTTTTTTCATATTAATAAATCAATAGCATAATAGAATTAAACGAAAGAAAGCACGATGTAAAGGAAGTATTTGAATTTGTAAATAATGAATTAAATGATAGATATTTAAATGAATGGAAAGAAAAGAAATGTGGTGAATATATAAGATGTGCAAATGGCACTTTCAATCATAAGAAATTAACAGTAGCAACATGGAGGTCATTGAACATAAAAAGAAATGCATTCCTCCAAATAGTAAAAATGCAAGAAGGAGTAACTATGACAGGAAATATTAAATCAAAAATACTACAAAATGATGCTTTAAAATATTGTAAACATTGCCCTAACACAATTGCATCTATTAATCATATATTGTTAGGATGTAATGAAAAAGAATCAAATATTAAAACATGATTATGTTTTTAAACAAATATTTAA